TGGCGATGCGCCTCGTACTCCAGGGCCTCCGGCGCCGTCGGAGCGTTCGGACTGCGGGGGCGTCGGCGTCAGCTCGACAGGCGCGCCTTGCCCCTCGGGTCGCATGCCTGCGCCATTGCCCTCGCCAGCGCGAGCCTTCTCCTGGCTTTGCCGGCGGGCTGGCTGCTGATGCAGCGCCCAGAGATGAGCCGGCAGCCGCCGCGCTGGTGGCGTTTCCAATCTCGTCTCCGTCTGGGTCGGCCACCGCGTTCCCCTCTCCCGCAGCGTCTCCGCTCTCTTCCTCGTCGCCATCATGGAAGTGCCCACTGCGGCGTCAAAGTTCCTGATTCGAAGAGAGGTCGGCCCGCGCCTGAGCGATCCTGGCGTGCTCCTGGTCTGCCCCTGTCCATAGGCCAGTTGGGTCGGTGCTCCTGGCGCCCGCAGCATTCGCAGATTCGGTGACTGTTGCGATGACTGGCGCGTTCCCGCGCGAGGTCGCGCCATTCCTCGCATCTGCGAGAGCGGCGCTCTGAGGAAAGGCGCGCGGTCTCCGCCTGGTCATCGCGATCAGGCCGCCGTTTGGATCACCAGTTGCGCGGTTGTTGAGGGGCCCAGCCCCAGCGGGCCCAGCAATTCATTTCCCCCAGAGTTAGCGGGGGCCCAAGTGCCAGGGCTCCCCAATTCCTCGGCGCCCGCGCAGGGCCGCGCGAGTGGGCCTGAGGGGCACGAAACGCCGCGATTACGTTCGAGTTGGATCGGCCCCAACCGACATCAATGAGATCGTTGGCTGTAACCTCGTTGGCGAACCCGCTCCTGTGACTCAGCCTGTGCGCACGCAGCGTGTTAGATGGTGGAGGCCATGAGCGCGTCCGCTTCCTCGCTCAGTCGCGCGCCCGCTGGATTGGGCACGCCTGCGGCGCGTAGCTCCTCCTGCACGGCGGGGGCGGCCTCGGCTTCGGGGGCCCCCCGTCGCGCGCCGACGCGCCCCCGAAGCCGGCGCTCGGAAGATCGCGGGAGGGGTCAGTCAGCGCACGGCCCATCGCTTCGCGCCGAAAGCGAACGCATGCGAGGGCGGCCCCCGCGGAAGAGAGATCAAGCGCGGGCCGCTCGACGTGCTCCGCGTCTTCAAAGGTGTCTCAAGACGTCGACAGGGCAGCGTTGTCCCCTTCGCCCTTCCCCTTCGAATCACATTGGCGCTGGAAATGTTTGTCGCCGCCACGCCAGTTGCACGGTGTCCTCTTCCTGTCTCGCTCCATAGGGTTAAGTTTCTTAAATATCCGACCCTTCCCCTGCCAATGGCACGGCGTCGGCCCCGACCTTTTCCCGCGGGGATTTCTTCATGCTCGGCGTCCGCCAGGGCCGCTAAAAACGTTGCGAACCCCTGTTCCACGCAGCCGCTGGTTGCGGTGACCACCCTTGCGCGCCCGTCGCATGGGCTTTCTCAATGAACCGCCGCCATCGGCGCGTCGCATTCAGCGGTGCCCGCATCGCCAAAACCGCGGGGTAAGTCCGACATATCTATATGTTCAACTATATCAAGTGATATCGCGTCGGCATCCGCGCCGGAGTCGAAAGGCGAGTTGCGGTTTGAGGCTGGGCTCCATAGGTCAGTCTGACTTTCAGGAGCAATGTAGCTTTGGAACGATGCTGATGTTGGGCGGATTCTGCAGTCTCCCTGGCCCCGAGGGGCCGTGGCCAATAAGGCTGTAGATACGTCGGCGCCATGGGGGTCGTCGGCCCGCGCATTTACTGGCGCGGCCGCGCCCCCGCCGGCGCTTGTCATAAGTGCTCGCGCGCCCGCGCCCTGCGGGTGCCAGCAGCGCGTTTCCGATTTTGCCGGGGGCTTGCTCAGCCAGATGGCCGCAGCTGCGCATGCAGTCCAGCAGCTCGTCGCATTGCTGCTGGGCCCGTGGCATGTGGCCATTCAGTGGCTGGAGTAGTTGGACGGCTCTGCCAGGGCCGACCCTTGGCGCTCTAAAGAGCACGGTCGTGAACAGCTGGAAATTCGGAGCCGAGCCGTGCCATCTCGAACCTGGCGAGGATAAAATCCGTTCTCTCGCCTGGTTCGGGCCTGAAGTGGATGCGTGCCGTTCCCAAGGCGAGCTGCCGCTCGTCCTTAAGGTTCTCGGAGTTGACGCTCAGTAGGAAAATGATGTACGCGACCGGGTCCGCGTGGACCCCTTGCACGGTCGCGCCGCATATGATGATCTGGGGTGGGACGCGCGTCGCTATCGTGCGGGCCGCCACTCCCAGACCGCGCTGTAGGCATGCAGCCTGGTGTTGTGGAGTCACGCGTGCGCTGCTGGCGTTGAGCCACGCATGTGCTTCACGAGTGAACTCGAAGAGTGATAATTTTCCTGAGGGGTCCCAGTAGAGACACCGCGTTGTGTTGTCACACCCGTCTTTGTGGTTACAACGTTGCATGTAACCGATGACGCAGACGATACTTAGCCAGACGTTACCACAGGTAATCAATGTCACATGCTGCTTCCATGTAGGGTCATGGCTTGTATTGATGATTGTATTCGGAGTGTCTGTCGCCGTGAATCGGCGAATCGGCCATGGAGGTGCATACCCATGTTGGTTTAAATGTACGGGGTCTGCGCTTCCGCGCAGAGGAAGTTGGTACGACATCTTGTTCCCGAGCTCGCCGTAGTTCGGGAAATCGTGGCGTAAAACCGCGGCATTTACGCTTTTCGGAATAGTCAGGCGGACATCGTGCACAAGGGATATGGCACTTCCGCTACGGGCGTTTCCGCCTGCTTGCCAATACCCGTTGACTTGGTCACGCTCTGACGTCGCATTGGTATCAACGGCATACCAAGCTGTGTTGTGGAGTCGTATTGCGATAGGCAAGGCTGACCACAACTTAGTGGAACCACGCTCCGCTACCAACTCAATAGCAGGATGACGGGCCATGCAGTGATAGGTTGGAAGCAGTATGAAAGATGTGGCACCATCATGAAGACTGATCGGGGTCTTGTTTAATGTCAAATGGTGAGCTGCGGAATCCACAGGCAACCCAGGCAAATAGGACGCCAGCGCTTTGAGCCAGACGCCAGCGGGATACTCGCATCGCTCGCTATATACATCCAAGCCCTCTTCGTTAATTTCAGAGTCAAGATGGCTCAAGATGGCTTGCGCGATGTTCCAAAAGGTCGCAAGGCCGCACCACGACGATTCCAAGTGGTGTTGGGAGACTCCCCATGACGCCCCTGAGAAGCAACAACCTTTCAAACACCTAAAAAGCAGACACATTATGTTTGCCTTCTCGACCCTTCGTTGCTGATTACCTTTCGAAGCTTCCAGATGGCCCCAAGAGGATCCCAACGGGGCTCCAAGGAGGGCCCAAGGTGGCCCTAAGATGGCCCCAGGAGCGTCCACGAACGCCCCAAGAGGACCCCAAGATGCGATTTTGAGCGCTGCGCAGGGGCGATGGTGATTGAGTACCCCCCCTCGTTTGATCGATATCCCCTAAGATGATGCCACGGAGGCCTTCACGGCCGCCAAGATGGCCCCAAGATGTCCCGAAGAGGCGGCCTTAGAGGACCCAAAAGGCCCCCACGAGGCCCCCACGAGGCCTCCAAGACGACCCCAGGCGGCCCAAAGAGGCCGCACCGAGACACCAAAGATGCCCCAATAGCTCCCCAGGACCGCCAAGAGACCCCAGAACGTCCCAAGAGGCCTGCCAGAAGCGCCCAAGAGATCGACCAAAAGACTCCGAGAGGCATCCAAGAGGCCTCTGGCCCTTTCGCCCGCCCTCCTACTCTCCTCCTGCTCTCATCCTACTCTCCTCCCCTTCCTCCTCCTCCTCCTCCTGCTCCTCCTCCTCCTCCTCCTCATCATCATCCTTCTCCTCTCCTCCTCCTCCTCCTCCTCGTGCTACTTATCACCTCCACTCCCTCAACCTTCCATCCAGCCTCCTGCCTCTTCCTTCTCCCTTCTTCGCACGGTTCGGTTGCCCCTCTGTTTGCTCCGGTATTTCCCTGATTACCTCAACTCGCCTGGGCGTCGTTTCTGGATGGGCTGGTGGGGATACTTTTTCCCTACCTAGGCTCTGCCTAGAAGGGTTCTTACTCTCTAGCTTAAAGGGGCCGGGCAGTGGAAAGCGCCCCGGGCGGTTCCCCCAGTCCCCGCCCCGCGGTTCCCCCAGTCCCCTGGGAGAGCTTTAGCTTTAGCTTTAGCTTTAGCTTTAGCTTAGCTTAGCTTTTAGCTTAGCTTTAGCTTAGCTTTAGCTTAGCTTTAGCTTAGCTTTAGCTTAGCTTTAGCTTAGCTTTAGCTTAGCTTTAGCTTAGCTTTAGCTTAGCTTTAGCTTAGCTTTAGCTTAGCTTTAGCTTAGCTTTAGCTTAGCTTTAGCTTAGATTTAGCTTAGCTTTAGCTTAGCTTAGCTTTAGCTTAGCTTTAGCTGTAGCTTTAGCTTTAGCTTAGCTTTAGCTTAGCTTAGCTTTAGCTTTAGCTTTAGCTTTAGCTTAGCTTTAGCTTAGCTGTAGCTCAGCTGTAGCTCAGCTTTAGCTCAGCTTTAGCTCAGCTTTAGCTTAGCTTTAGCTTAGCTTTAGCTTAGCTTTAGCTTAGCTTTAGCTTAGCTTTAGCTTAGCTGTAGCTTAGCTTTAGCTTAGCTTTACTGTTACTACTAATGCTGCTTTCCTAGGGGCTCCAACTCCTAGGTAGGGTCGCACTGGGATAATTTATGATCGCAAGCGCACCGGGAGACGCCGGACGCCGTCCAAAGGGCTGGTGGGGATACGCGAGGCGTCAAACATTTCAAGAAGCGATACTGAGGGTCGCCTCCTGTCGCACCAGAATCTGCTCTACATCCATAAGTACTAGGCGCGGGCCTCATGATCAGCAGCGACTCTTTTGAACACCTGGCTACAACGCCTCCCTCACGTCTTCTTCCTACCATTCGACCGTTGACACTACCAGTGTCGATCACTCTGTTGCATGTGCCATCTGCCCCCTCGTCACAAGAGACACCCTGAGGGTTAAGCAAGAGACACGGGACACGCACCAACAGCACCGACCCCGAGGTTCCTCTGGAAGTTTGATGTTGTTGAAGTTGTGGCGTGGTTGTGGTCCGCCACCTGACGCACGGCATGGCAAGAACGCGCAAACAAGCTAACAGCTTACAGCAAGAACGATTGTCATCCGCTGGCCCCCTGTCGTTCGCCCCCACTCCCCAAGCTCCATCTTGCTCCATGTTAAGTACTCCAATAATGAGAAACAAACCCTGGATCACAACCAACGCATTCATACTTGCATGTTGAAAACGGCTCGGTTTACCCGCGCATGAAGGGGAAATGAAATAGTTCCGCGCAACCATTTAACAATCCATGTGCACATGTCGGAGGTCGGGGGGTGAGATCGCAGTGGAACGGAGACCCCCATACGGGAAATCGTTTCGTTCCGTTCGTGTCGCGCGTGCGGGCGAGGCGAAGCTGCGTGGGCGCGCAAGAGGAATGAACCCGCCGCTGCTAAGGCGAAATCAACACACATGATTATCCCCCGCCCGCCCGTCCGACGGTTGCTCGCGGTGTCCCGCGGTGTCCCGTGGTGCCCGCCGTTGCTAAGACGAAACAAAACAAATGAGTCTCCCCCACCCGCCCGTCCGGCGGTGGCTCGCGGTGTCCCGCGGTGTCCCGTGGTGTCCCGTGGTGTCCCGTGGTGTCCGCCGTAACTAGGGCAAAGTCCAGACAAATGATTCTCCCCAGCCCGCCCGTCCGTCCGTCCGGCGGTGGCTCGCGGTGTCCCGCGGTGTCCCGTGGTGTCCCATGGTGTCCCGTGGTGTCCCGTTGAGTGAGATCGATAGTGAGATCGATAATGAGATCGATAGTGCGATCGATACTGAAGTGAGATCGATAGTGAGATCGATAGTGAGATGGACAGGTGTCCCGTGGTGTCCCGTGGTGTCCCGTTGAGTAAGATCGATAATGAAATCGATCGTGAGATCGATTCTGAGATCGATGTGGTGCCTCGAGGTGTCCCGTAGTGTCCTTAAAAATTAGCCTGGCGAAGGACCCAACCATATGCAGTTGTGAATGCCGCAATTGTGCTGGGTGGTGGCGGACGCATGCGGGCGGTGCCACTGGGACCTTCGGTGGAGCTCCCTATGGGGCCACGAAACGCTGTACTGGGTGGGTGAGACGCGGTCAGCAAGGGCTGTGCTGCGTGGTGGCGGACGCATGCGAGCGGTGCCACTGGGACCTTCGGTGGAGCTCCCTATGGGGCCACGAAACGCTGTACTGGGTGGGTGAAACGCAGGCAGGGAGCAAGGGCTGCGCAGGGTGGTGGCGGACGCATGCGGGCGGTGCCGCTGGGACCTTTGGTGGAGCTCCCTATAGGGCTACGAAGCGCTGTTCTGGGTGGGTGAAGCGCAGGGAACAAGGGCTGTGCTGGGTGGTGGCGGACGCAAGCGGGCAGTGCCACTGGGACCTTTGGTGGAGCCCCCTATGGGGCCACGAAACGTGCGAGGGGTGTGCCAGAATGGGGTGTGGAACCGCATGCCAGCGCAGCCACTGGGGCCTTCGGTGGAGCTCCCTATGGAGCCACGAAATGTGTGAGGGTGTGCCGAAATGGGGGGTGGAACCGCATGCGAGCGCAGCCAGTGCGGCGTTCGGTGGAGCTCCCTATGGGGCCACGAAGCGTGCGAAGGGTGTACCAGAATGGGGGGTGGAACCGCATGCGAGCGCAGCCACTGGGGCCTTCGGTGGAGCTCTCTATGGGGCCACGAACCGTGTGAGGGGTGTGCCGAAATGGGGGGGGAACCACATGCGAGCGCAGCCACTGGGGCGTTCGGTGGAGCTCCCCATGGAGCCACCCACGAAGCGTGTGAGGGGTGTGCCGAAATGGGGGGTGGAACCGCATGCGGGCGCAGCCACTGGAGCTTCGGTGGAGCTCCCTATGGGGCCACGAAACGTGTGAGGGGTGTGCCAGAATGGGGGGTGGAACCGCATGCGGGCGCAGCCACTGGGGCCTTCGGTGGAGCTCCCTATGGGGCCACGAAACGTGTGAGGGGTGTGCCAGAATGGGGGTGGAACCGCATGCGGGCGCAGCCACTGGGGCCTTCGGTGGAGCTCCCTATGGGGCCACGAAACGTGTGAGGGGTGTGCCAGAATGGGGGGTGGAACCGCATGCGGGCGCAGCCACTGGGGCCTTCGGTGGAGCTCCCTATGGGGCCACGAAACGTGTGAGGGGTGTGCCAGAATGGGGGGTGGAACCGCATGCGGGCGCAGCCACTGGGGCCTTCGGTGGAGCTCCCTATGGGGCCACGAAACGTGTGAGGGGTGTGCCAGAATGGGGGGTGGAACCGCATGCGGGCGCAGCCACTGGGGCCTTCGGTGGAGCTCCCTATGGGGCCACGAAGCGTGTGAGGGGTGTGCCAGAATGGGGGGTGGAACCGCATGCGGGCGCAGCCACTGGGGCCTTCGGTGGAGCTCCCTATGGGGCCACGAAACGTGTGAGGGGTGTGCCAGAATGGGGGGTGGAACCGCATGCGGGCGCAGCCACTGGGGCCTTCGGTGGAGCTCCCTATGGGGCCACGAAACGTGTGAGGGGTGTGCCAGAATGGGGGGTGGAACCGCATGCGGGCGCAGCCACTGGGGCCTTCGGTGGAGCTCCCTATGGGGCCACCAGGGGTGTGCCAGAATGGTGGAACCGCATGCGGGCGCAGCCACTGGGGCCTTCGGTGGAGCTCCCTATGGGGCCACCCTGCCAGAATGGGGGGGAACCCATGCGGGCGCAGCCACTGGGGCCTTCGGTGGAGCTCCCTATGGGGCCACGAAACGTGTGAGGGGTGTGCCAGAATGGGGGGTGGAACCGCATGCGGGCGCAGCCACTGGGGCCTTCGGTGGAGCTCCCTATGGGGCCACGAAACGTGTGAGGGGTGTGCCAGAATGGGGGGTGGAACCGCATGCGGGCGCAGCCACTGGGGCCTTCGGTGGAGCTCCCTATGGGGCCACGAAGCGTGTGAGGGGTGTGCCAGAATGGGTGTGGGAGGGGGAGGAGGGGGGAGGAAGGGGAGGAGGAGGAAGGATGAGGAGGAAGGAACGCGGGGCGACGTCTCTTCAAAACGAGGACCCAACACCACAGGATGGTTGGGAATGAGATCGATAGTGAGATCGATAGTGAGATCGACAGGTGTCCCGGGGTGTCCCGTGGTGTCCCAAAAAGTGAAATCGATAATGAGATCTATAGTGAGATCGACAGGTGTCCCGCGGTGTCCCGTTGAGTGAGATCGACAGTGAGATCGATAGTAAAATCGATAGTGGGATCGATGTGGTGTCCCGAGATGTCCCATGGTGCCCCGTGGTGTCGTGAGGTGTCCCGTTGAGTGAGATCGATAGTGAGACCGATAGTGAGACCGATAGTGAGATCGAGAGGTGTCCCGCGGTGTCCCGTGGTGGCCCGTGGTGGCCCGTTGAGTGAGATATCGAAATCGACAAGTATCCCATGGTGTCCCGTTAAATGAGGTCGATCGTGAGATCGATTGAATCAGAAGTTGGTTCACCCTCTCTTCCCCCCCAACAACCTCCTTATCAACCGAAGGGTGGTCGTATAGGTATGTGTATGTATGCGCATAAATATAAACATGCATACGCACGTTCATACGCGCAGGTACATACATATACGTACGTACGTACACCGTTATAGGTGCTGACCCACACGTCCCCGGCAAATTAAACATTCCCATGTTCTGCTGGGCCAAGCGGACATGGAAAAGGAAGAACCTGAATCCTAGTTGCGTGCGTTGGCGTGAAGACAAATGCAACTGCAATGCATAGGAATGCAGTCGGCGAGAATACGTGCAAGACCGGTGCACTTTGACGCACATGCAACGTGCCGCAGAGCAGGCGGCAGCGCAACAGTAACACCGCTGGACGTCATGGAGACACAATGGGGTCATCGAAAGGCACACGTAAACAAAACACCTTCCCAGGCACTGCTTGCACTTAGGGGCCCCCGCTTTGTTTGACAGGAATTGGAATTTAGATGCTGCGATTTCTGGTTGCCGTCCTGGTGCAATATGTATTGCTGGTGCCCTCTGGCGAATGCCCTATGGTGCCCCGACAGTCGCGAATACTTATTACCGCCCTGGTGCCCTATGACTGGTTCCCTATGGCGAATGCTATGTGATGCACTGTTGTCGCAATGTGTGGTCGCCGCCCTGGTGCCATATGGGTGGTGCTGCCCAATGGCTGGCGCCCTGTGATGCCTCAGCTGTCGCGACTTCAGGCTGCAAGGATAAATCCCCTTTCAAGAGAGCCCCAAGACGGCACAAGAGCGGGCCAAGAATTACGCTACCGAGGAACCCCACATACTTATTTTATGTCACGTGTGTTCACAAACCATGTCACATCCCGCTTCGCCATCCTCGATGCTAGAAACCGATCCTTGTGAGGAATGTGCCAGCCACTAGTTGTTTCACGTGGCCTCCGGAATCGTTTCACCTGCCTTATCTTCCTCCTCTTCCTCCTCCTCCTCCTCTTCCTCCTCCTCCTACTATGACTACTACAACTGCTACTTCTACTGTTAGTAGTAGTAGTAGTAGTAGTAGTAGTAGTAGTGGTAGTAGTAGTGGTAGTAATCCTACTACTACTACTACTACTACTACTGCTGCTACTACTACTACTACTACGACTACTACTACTACTACTACTACTACTACTACTACTAATATTCTTACAACTACTACTACTACTACTACTACTGCTGCTGCTGCTACTACTACTACTACTACTACTACTACTAGTATTCTTACAACTACTACTACTACTGCTGCTACTACTACTACTACTATTATTACTACTACTACTACTACTACTACTACTACTACTACTACTAGTACTACTACTACTACGACGACTACTACTACTACTACTACTACTACTACTACTACTACTACTACTACTACTACTGCGACTACTATTACGAGTACGCTTACTAACGACTACTACTACTACTACTACTACTACTACTACTACTACTACTACTACTACTACTACTACTACTACGACTACTACGACTACCACCACACCACTACCAACACTACTACACTACTACTACTACTACTACTACTACTACGACT